CCTTATTCTTCACTCCCCCTCTCTCTATTGATTTTGTTGGTTTGCCTTTATGTACCACTTTACTGGTTTGCCTACCCCTATCACTTTGTAGAAAAAAGAATTTATTTCTTCTTCATTCCTGCTCTCATTTAAATGTTTTGCCTCGGCGAGGTTCAGTTTCAGCTTCTCTCTATCTTCTTTTGAAAGATCTCGTCTTAACGACCACCCTTTCCCATCCTCATCCCTTTGCAATTTTCTAGCATTCCTTAGTACTTCTTCCATCTGTTTGGCACCGTTTAGGGTGATCCTCAAAGGTCGATCTTTCCCTTTTACGTACCTGCCTATTCTCCTGTAGTCGCACACATTCTCTCTGTTTGTAAGACCTTCCACGAGGCCAACAATTTTATCTACTACTTTAGCTTCTTCTACAGCTCTTTCTGACCTAGATGTTATCGCCTTTTCTTTGCAGCCAAAAATGATCAGGGACTTACTCCGATCAACTGTGTTTTGCACCAACTTCGGGTTAGATGCCAATTCTTTCCTCACTTCTAGCCTAATGTTTGTTTTATCTTGGTTGCTGCAGTGTTTGACTTCCTTTACTGCTTCTTCTATTTTTTCCTTCTCCTTGGCCACTTGTGCATAAGTGAGTTGCATATCTTTCTTGCACTGTTCTATTCCCTGTGTAACTTCCTCCATCTGTGCTGACAAAAGCTGTTTCTCCTGTTGAATTTCCTTGCCTAACCTATTGTAGTCATATTGTGTATTGGTATGAAAGTGTTGAGGCCTGCCTACTGTAAGTACAATTTCTACATTATTGTTTAAATGTCTTAGTACATTGATCTCGGCTATCAGCCAGAAGTTATTGCCTATTTAACACCCACACTGTAGGCAAGAACAAATTTTGAGTCAAGAGAGACTGTGTAGTGAACATGTGTTTACCCGTGTGGTACTACGGTATTATATTGGTCATCAAGATTATCTTGAGATGATTTCAGGGCTTAGTGTCCCCGTGGCCTGGTCCTCGACCAGTTCTTTTTGTTACACAACCCCCAGGAAGCAGCTTGTAGCAGCTGTCTAACTCCCAGGTACCTATTTATTGCTAAATGAACAGGGCCATAAAGGTGAAAGAAACTCTGCCCATTTGTTTCTGCCTCCACCGGGGATTGAACCCAGAACCTCAGGACTACGAATCCCGAGCGCTATCCACTCAGCTGTCAGGCCCCCCAACAGTCATGGGTGAACGTGTTTTACATATGCCACAAACAGTTTTCCATCTGATATTGTCGACTTTCCCATTGACAGTGATTTTGTTGAGTTCGCTGCATATGTTTTGTGATTACCCGAACATCTTATTTCGAGCTCCTGTGTATTCCTTTGAATACCAGCAGTGACAGGAAATTAGTGTTAATAATTGGTTGCCTAAAGAAAAGTGTTAAATTGGGTTTTGTTCCTCATTGGACCCATAATCGATCAGTTAAGCATTTCATCTCTCAAATTCAATATTAGCCTAGCTGACACCACTGTAGTAAAGTCGAGGACCTTGTGTATTAGTAAGTTTATTGAATAAACCCTGTTTTACCGTTACATGTGCTTACATTGTCACCAAGTACTGTGCTTCTACTCCCACTTGTGTTAGAGTTTTATATTTACTCTGGTGTCAACATCACCCTTAAAGCCTACTTCACAATAAATAAAATATTGATGTAGGACCCAAGCGAAGTCCTTTAGTGCTGATTTTCGGAGGAGATTGTCACAACCTAGTGGATCAAGGCTTCGTGTATGCCAGTGATGGAATCCTCTATTTCCATAGAGGATTCCTCAGTCGACTAGTGTACTCTGGTCTGTTACACATTTCTCTTTATAGCTTTTATCCAATAAATTGAGCCATATGTCACATGCAAATGTGACATTGCATAGTTGCAGTCAATGAAGGCACATATTCCACACTACATATTATGTCTCTTTGTTCTAGTATTGGCAAGATGAGTGCTACAGTAATTGGATTCAACAAGGAATTTAATGATTATCCAATGTTTCTTAGAGTTGTATTATCAAAAATTCAAATTACTGTATGCTGAAAATCAAGACATACATAGAGATAGTGCGAGACTTAAGTAGAATATATGCATTTATTAGTTCTGAGGAGATAGCCAAATTGGCAGAGGGAAGCTGCAACAATTGTTCTAAAATTTTATTCAATGAAAAATATATTACAATTACAAAACTTACAATTACACATAGATACTTTGGTACATTTACTGCCTTTATTAATGTCTGATCAATAAAATATTCTTGGCAAATTTCATTTTCAAACTAAAATGCATATGGAATGCCCTTTTTCTTTTAACCCTAATACTGCAGCATTTATTGGAGATTTCAGCCCCCCACCCCCAACCCTTTTTATAACCAAAAAATAAATAAAAATAAAAAAATTGGCAAAATATTCATGTTGTACAGTATAGCTTTGCTGTAGTAGACCTCTAAAAGTGGATTTACTACCAGAAAGCCCAAACTGGGAAATACAAAATTAGAGTAGTTGAAATTAAAAAAAATACAGTATATATATATTGCTATGCAATAATATATGAAACTTTAATTGCCATGATGTGAGTGAAGAGGGGGGGGGTTCCTCCCTCTCGAAAAAAGAAATTTAAAAAATACAAAATTATAGAAAAATGCTACAATAGAAAAAGTTCTATTTGCCAAACTTTGTATGATCAAACACATGACTTCTCCCTCCCCCTTTTCTGAGAATATAGAACATTTGTAAAATAGGAAAAATAAAGAAAATCTAGCTAATATACATGTACAATTTTATGCATTTTGTTTTGTGGGCATACAAATATATTAAAGGATAACTCAATTGACCTTTCCAGGCCCTACAGGACCTGTTTTGGTGCATATACTTTCATATACAAAGTTACTTATCGCCATTAAATTTTAATAGTCGTACCTCCGTTAAGGAGTTTAATCCGTTCCCAGAGACGGTTCATAAACCAAAATGAATTTTCCTGTAAGAAATAATGTAAATTGAATTAATCCATTCCACACTCCCAAAAATATTAACTTCAAAATACATTTCATACATAATACTACAAATGTTTTGTACTACAGTATGAACAAGTTAAATCTTACCTTTATTAATGACTTGTTTGGGGTATGGAGGACAATGAGGAGGAGGCGGAGAGGTGTTAATACAATGGAAGGGGACTTCTCTTCTAAGCACTAACACCAGGCAGTGATGACTTCTCTGGGGGTATTCTCTACCCCTACGCTTTGCAGGCATACCACAAGGACCTGGTTGTGGGTCTTTGCTTGCTTGTCTATAGCAAGACAAGAATGTCTATAGACACTTGTTTTTCCCTATGTTTGAACACTTGTCTGTATTGAGACATCACATTGTTGTTAAAATGGTTTATGCAATGGCCTGCTACAGCTTTATCTGGGTGACACTTTAAACCAAAACCTTGCCGTTCTTCCCATGCTGCACATATTTTCTTAATGAGGATGGGACATCCTCTACTGCCGCCTCCTTTCCTGAAGAAATTTCCTCAAGTGTCTTTTGCTGCTGCTCCTTGTGAAGGGCTCCTCCATATCAGCACCATTCAGCCTAGCTAGTACAACCACCCTCATATCATTTTCATGTTTATGAATGATCCCTTGTTTTTCCTCTAGCGTCATCCTCACATTTGTTTTCTTAGGTTGAACCTTACCACTGACTTTCTTGGGATCCATGGTGTGATATATAATAATTACTTTTATGTTCAGAAACCAAAAAAAGCCCCAAAAAATCAATTTTTTACAAAGAACTGAAGTGCGATCACTAGGTGGGAGGCACTGGTAAATTGAAGCACGCCTCGCCCGTGCCACCAGGAACCACACGCTCGGTCAACTCATACATGTATCAAGAAACTCGCCAAAGAGAGGCAAAACTTATAAACCGAGTCAAATTTTTCCAAGAAATTGAGCTCGTAAACCTAAAAATTTGTAGAGAGGGGCATTCGTAAACCGAGCTTCCACTGTATTTTTAATATTTCCACAAGTTCATTCAGGGAGACCTACTGTCATAAAACTTTTAACCACTGACTTAAAAATAAACGTATCCTTCTTCATAAGTACTAGTAATGGTGAATAAAGTGACATGTCACTCATGAAAGTTAAATGGGCACTGATCCCTTCACAAGTTCATCAAACCAAGGCCACTATCCAGACCTCTCATAGCTACTCCAAACCAAACGTTTGTAGACTTTATCTGCAGTGTCCCAGATATATCTGCTCTCACAGGCATGGTCCATGCATGGTCTATACAATCCAGTTGAAGAGTTAAACAAACCCTTGAATAGAATAGGATATTCATATCCTATACTTCCAGCACTTTCCATGTTATATAGTATGCATACCTTTTAATTATATAGTATGCATGCATTTAATTATCAAGAAATAATGCCTCAATATTATTTGGCCAATGCCTTAAACACTGCTAGGATTTATAATATCTTTTGATCATTTATAATTTTAAAAGTTAGAGGAAATATCAGTTTTTAAGAATGATAGTTTTGGTTAGGAAATGGTTAAGACGGAACATACTGTAATAATTGAGCAAAAAGACACTAGAATCCCTGAAAAATAATTTGAATTTATCTTGCCCTTTAACCCTTACATGCTTCAATCACCATCTGTGATTTCCTCCAGTGTACAACTTGCCATATGCAATTGACCTTTATGGGTTTTCAATACTTATTTTTTTTATGTGCACCCGCCCAACTACTTGGGCTAGACGGTAGAGCGACGGTCTCGCGTTCAATCTCCGACCGTCCAAGTGGTTAGGCACCATTCCATCCCCACATCCCATCCTAAGTCCTTAACCTTATCCCTTCCAAGTACTATATAGTTGCAATGGTTTGGCATTTTCTCCTGATAGTTCCCTTCCTTTCATGTGTACCTTGGTATACAACAGGACTTTTAATAACATATACATTTAAGGGTTAATGATAAGTTTAATACTGAACTGATGCTTCAAGCTTACTAATCTGAAAGGTGCATGCTATCATTTGTGTACAGCTTTTTTAAATTATTTTTGTTTCAGTCTATTAAATTTTAATTAAAAATCTTTCTATTTTAGTTTAATGTTTTCAGTTAACACAGTATCCGAACACTGACAGTTTTACTTACCACTAGTATCACTGATTTACTGTACCTTGTTAATGAACCACATTGGACAGTATTTTCACTTATTGTTTCTTATGTAGGACACAGTATTTAATCTTGGTCATTTTTTCCTTTGATGCTTTTCCATAGTTTCCATCCATACAGCTCCTGACTTGATGCAAGTGGGAAAGGAGTAACAACGATGTCACATACTAGGATTGTCTAGGCATTGAGTTTGCTTTCCGGAGTATTTGGTAACATCATCTTATTTCTTAATATAATTCTGAATAGTTTTATATCATCATGCACAAATTTCCCTAC